GGCGCTGACTCTTCTTCCGCGTGGGCACGGGATGCGAACGAATTAAACAAGGACATGAAGAAGGGAACATTCCAACGGCCAGCCAGGTTTGTTTTGCGGTTGATTAATGCCAAAATCATGCCCACTCAAAGTGACATTGATGTCCCACGACTGAAAGTGTGTTTGATCTATGCCTTGTTGACACGGATGCGGTTCGATCTTGGAAAAATCATGTTGGAGCATATGGCTAAAGTGCGACCACTTGGAGCCCGCCGTCTACATTACCCGAGTATGATCACTCGATTGTTGCGAGCGCACCATGTAGAGGAGGAGTTTCACTATGACCGGACTATTCCAGTGCCTTATCCTATCAAGGCCTATGATGTTACGTTGGTGATAGAGAACCCTGCTACTGCTGTTAATTCGGACCAGAGGTTGGTTCGCGCTGAGGAGATGCTACAACTGCTGTTTGCTGACTTGCGCCTTTGTGCTGCACGGGGGGAGACCGACTTGGAGGAGTTGCAGCAAGATCACCCCCTTTCTGCTATCACTCAGCAGTGGTTGGGGTTGGCGAGAGGAGGACAGCTGCCACCAGATGAGGATGTGAACTCCATTCCCTCAGATGATGAGGAGTATTCGCGCACCTTCGAGGGTGCTGACGATTAGGCCATGGGCCTCAGGGAGTCACCTTTTCACTCTTGATTTTACTGTTTTGCATTGGAGACAATGCAATCTCTTAAGTGTGGGGTGGGGTGCTCCTATTTGATTGTATTTGTATTTTTTTTATTTGCCAGTTGGTTTTGTTTGATTTGTTTCTTGCTTTCGTAAATAATATGGTCTGTAAACTATAATTCTGAATTCTATCGGACTGTAATAGTTAGTAATTAAGTGTTTAGTTCGACTCTTCCCGACGATGGATTTCGTTGACTGGTTTCCTGAGGGAGTTGAGTCAAAAGAAAAAGAAAATAAAATTATATATATGTGAAAATCCAAAAATATTTCTTTTATTTTAGTATTTTTTGTAGGTAGTGTAACAATTTCCCCTTGGTTTTTATTTGTGTCGCGGTTCTTTTCCAAAGGTTTTGCTTGAACCGGGTGTAGTTAAATCCTTTCATTTTTTAGGAATTAAGAATCTTTAGTCAGAAAGCTAATTTAAAGGATCAATTTCCCTTAACTGCATATGCCTTGAGAGTGGTAAGTGCCTTAGTTGTGACACCTACGCTCAATTCTTGACTCTTAAATAAGTGCCTTAAATTGTGTGATTATAACTGTGCTTAACTGCTTTGACTAGAGTGTCTTGATGAGTCCAATCCTGAGTGAGTTATGTGCCCATGTGTGTGTAAGGGTTTTGTGTTATTCTGTGCGTTGTATTTGATGCCTAGAACTTGCCCCGTGTGTTTGCAAAGCGAAATAGTAGTTTTGTTCAGTTTTGAAAGTGATATAGGCGTTTCCTTGTTGAGCCATATATATATATATTTTCTTTTTTACCCGCCTAACTGTTATGTATCATAGTTAACCCCTTTGAGCCTGAAATCCTGTTCTTTGGCAACCACATTATAAGCCTTACCCAATTGTTTGAATTGACCATATATTTGAACCTTTTCACCTCTCATGAGCACTTGAATTGTATTGAACCTTGAAAAGGTTAAAGTGTGGGGTGATTGGTTTGGCTTTTGAGTGGAGCTAATAAAATAAGGAGAAAGGTGCACTATTTTGAAAAAGTAAGAGCCACTAGAATTAAAAAAAAAGGAAAAAAAATATAGTTATATTGATGTGAAAAATATTCTTTGATAGTGGGGACTCTCGGTATAATTGTGCTTAAAAAGAAGTATGGGGTAATATACATTGAGGTAAAGGAAATTTTTTTATTTGACATAAGTATGGGCTTGAGTGTCGAAGTATATGTATTAAAGTGCTTAAGGGAGGTGTAGTCACTCATATCCAAATGTATCCTACCCGACCTGCAGCCTACATTACAACCAATTAAAGTCCTACTTGATCCTAGACTGAATGAGCTCGATTAGTAGAGTAGTACACTATGGGCAAGCCTATGGTGCATCGTTTGTGGCATATGAATATTATTTCTGAGAGTGAGTAAATTTTTTCTATCTTGAGTTCCTAAGTGTCTTAAATTTTATTCTGTGGAACTACGCTCCTTTCTTGTGTGAGGGCACTTGGTTCATGAAGGAAAGGTAATGTCATTGACCTCTATGTTAGAGTGAGTGGGCAAGTTGTGAATAATGCATGGTACTTTTGAGTCGAATCTTGAGGGTGGGATGTTATGATAAGGTGCTCAGTCTACTTTAATTATTCTTGGCATGGTGTATCAGGGAGGTTGTTTGATGAAAGGTCATCCCTAGGTGAAGTGTAGTTTAAATGCTCGAGGACGAGCAATGGTCTAAGTGTGGGGTGTTGATGTTAGGCTAGAAACCCGTGTTTTAGCCGTAGTATTACATTCCAATTACTGCATTTTTACGTGTGCTTGAGCTCAAATGATAGCGAATTACACTTAGTACGTGTTTTATGCCTTGCAGGAAGTGATCCCGAGTTCAAAAGTTAATTTGGAGCTAAATCAATCAATCTGGAGCTTTGAAGTCTGAGTAAAAGTCCAATACATTAAGCCGGGATCGTGTTCGGAGATCGTGTACCAAGTCCGGATGTCAAAAGAGGATGAAATAATTTCACTCTGAGAAAATTACACTGTCGCGCCGCATGGGGCGCTGCATAGCGCGGCGCAGCAGTGTAAAAAAAATGGCTTGACAAGAAAATGCAAGCCTGCTAATAAACTCCACAAGCACTCCGCACAGTGCGGCGCAGGGTGCGCCGCGCCAATGGAAATTTCCTGCGGCCTGTCAGAATCAACTCTCTGAACTTCCCCACAAGCACACCGCGTGGTGCATCGCCCCATGCGGCGCCCTGTACAAATTTTACAGAGCCAAGTCCTATTTCGCGCAGGAAAGGGTGTTTCGTCTGGGCCCGACCCTACTTTATATAAATACATATAAAAATGCTATTTTGAGGACTTTTGACACATCTAAGACCTAGGGAGACTATTTTGGAAGGGAGAAGACGTTTTGGACAATTTCCAGAGGAGATTATCATCGAGTTCTTCATTCCTTCATCTTTACTTTGTAATTTAATTATGCAAATTATTTGGAAAATTGTTACTATGAGTATGAGTAGCTAAACTCCTAATCTAGGGTTTTGATGGAACCTATTGGAGGATGAATTTCTCGTTACGTTAATATAGATTTGGCATAGTATTCTCTCTATTTGTTCAGCTATATGCTTATTGCTATTGATTGAAGGGCCCTCAATTAACTGTTCCTATTTAGTGAGCATTATTCGGGAGAGAGTGCATATTTAGGTAGTTGTTGAACATCATCACTCCTAACATATATGAAGGATCAATACGAAAGGTTTAAAGGTGGGATTAGGGATAACAAAACCTTGGGTGCGATATAAGTGAGCTGTACTTAAGGCTAGCTAGCGTAATTCGGGAGAATATGTCTAGTATATTGTTGAAATTACTCGGGAGAGGGTTACGACAGTCAGAGTGCTCATGATCAATAGAGAAGACTTAGGCAAATTTATAGCAAACGTAGCGGAAAGGATTCTGACAATAGGGAAAATCAGAACCTTAGATCATTCCAATTCTTATTTACAACCAGTTTCGTAGTTAGTTAATCTTTATTGCATTTTCTTTACATATTATTTAGTTAGTAAACATCAACTTTATTACTTAAATATTTCTTGATTACGAGAATTTGTGTGAGTCCAATAGCTGTGTTTAATAGGTTAATTCCCTGTGGGATTCGACTCCGGACTTGTTAACCGGAATATATTTATAACGACCGCTTTGTCCTTTTTATAAGGCATAGTTGGGTGTGATCAGCTGACAACTTGTAATTTTGTTTACCGCTAGTTAGGGGTGTACAAAGAAAACCGACAAACCGCATCAAACCGATAATCCGAGTCAAACCGAGAAAAAAAACCTGACTATGGTTTGGTTTGATTTGGTTTGGTGTTAGAAAAAAAAAATCCGACCTTAATTGGTTTGATTTGGTTTTAACTAAAAAAAAGCCAAATCGAAACCAAACCAACCCGACATTATATGTATACAAGTTTTAAAAATATTTTATACGTAAAAATAATTATTGTAATGTAATTTATAAATATAACTTAAACTCTTTAATAGTTCTCTCTTTTAATGTATTATTTCAAGCTTTGACTTAGAACTTTTGAATGGTCAAATATGTTTTACAGCCCGTAAAAGTTAGTAACCCAAATAAAGCCCAAAGCAAAATCAAATCAATACTAGCGCTAACAAAAAAAATTAAATTAAATACTAGAAATGACAATGGTATTGGATATTTACTCTTTTAGTTTTACATTAATTTAGACAGTGAAAATGTATAACTCCCTTTTAATATTATTTAATTAGTCATATAATTAATATTTAGTACTTATTAGTCATACTTATTTTAACATGACTTAGCAGTTTTAGATTATGCTATTGTATTATAGCTTTTTAATTAGCAATATTTATCTTATGCGATTTGTTGAAGATTTTAGTATAATCATGACTTATCTCACATTATTTTGTATTATTTTATTGGGTAACATCTTATATAATTTTATCCTACTAGGACCTAAGAAATATTAGAGCACAAATTATAAATTTTATGCTATGAAGATTTTGTCGGAAAAAAACCCGAAAAACCCGAGAAAAACCTTGATTGAAAAACCCGACTTTTGTTGGTTTGGTTTGATTTATAAATTTAAAAATCCGAGACAATTGGTTTAGTTTGGTAATTGAAAACCGAACCAACCCGGCCTATGTACACCCCTACCGCTAGTTATCGGCCTTATTTTAGACAATTAATTTCACTTATTATGAACAGTTATATATCTCATTTTTAAGTCTTGTGATAATATAAAGTTCTTTCACACTACCAAGGTAAAGATTACACTCGTTTGAATTTGACTAAGTAAAACTAAAAGAACTTGGTAGTACATACCTTTCATCAAAATTGGTAGTCGCAGCTATGTTAACAATAACATCTACTTCTCTCCACATTTCCTCCACCAAATTAGGGTCTTTCACCCCCAAGTTCTCACATGTGATATCACCAGGTATAATCGTGGCCTTTTCTCTGATAAAAGTATTCAAATTTGCCCCGTATTTTTCCCTTAGAAGCTTGAATAAGTTCTTTGCCACAGCCTGTTAATTAAAAGACGGAATTGATGTACAAAAAGTTGTGAAAAGATATTTACTATAGTTATTGTATTCGGAATTTTCACTAAAAAGATTCAAAAAATAAAAAAGTAAACCCATGTAAATGTCAAAAGGATTAACATCTACTGTATATACATAAAATTAATTATGACCCTATATATAAAATGCATTTTTCAAGCAAACAGATACAGCCGAACTTGCTTGCGTCACCTAGCTCCGCCCCTTTGTATCATGTACTTTTAGTAATCGAACCATGCTCTCATACCATAGTATATGTGTGTCTATTTACTGATGACTTACCTTTTGAAGATATATATACTATTTCCCACTCATTTCTCAATGTTTGCAAGGCAAAGGAAGTAATAAAATATGAGGGAAGAACTTAATTCGTGAAATGGGCCCTCAAAAGAAGAAATTGACTTATTGATGAGTTGTGTGATGTGAACTCTCCGGAAATAATGTTATAATTGTAGTTGAATGAATTTATATGTTGTTAGTAGGGTGTTCAAATCAAACCGGAAAATCTCCCCAAGTCGAAAAGTCATATCAAATCAATTAAAAAATTCAACTAGGTTTGGTTTGATTTAGTTTAATATTGAATAAAAAAAATAAACCAATTTATAAATATATATTTTTTTATATATTCATTTAGGACTTTATATGAAATTTTCTTTAAAAATACCTTAAAATATTTAAAAACCTCTCATGGGATGTAATATTTAATAGAACAATGAAGTGCATTCATTCTTATTTACTTAAATAATGAGTTGTATCACGTGCTTATCAGGTGTTATTGAAATGTATCTATTATCTCTTTGTTCTTCCATATTCATATATTAAAATTTTTTATATCTTTTTCGAATTTGTAATAGTATTTTGATAATTTAACGTTAAATAGAGCATATCATATTTATTTTTATTTTTAATTATTAAATTCGGTTAACCTTGAAAACATACATCAGCGAAATATTATTGTTAGACGTTTAAAAAAATAACTAGCATGTATTACTAACAAAAATCTCCCATAAGAATATTTCTAATAGATCAAATGTTTGTCAATTTTTTTTAATATTTACTAAATATATATTCGCTATCAAAATTTTATCTATAAATTTAAGAAAATAATATTGAAATAATATTCATATAACAAAAAATTCTGAAAAAATTGAGAAACCCGAAAAAATCGAACCAATATAGTTAATATGATTTGATTTTAACAAAAATCAAATTAATTTGGTCCATTTACACGCCTACTTGTTAGCTATTGTTGGCCCGACAAGATTAAGGACAAGGATGAAAAAGAAGATTTTTAAAAGGAAGACAACCAAATGTGGTATGTAGACTAACCTTAAAATCCAAGGAAAAGGATGTTCTCCTTATATATATAATATATCTTCTTTTTACTGGTCATTTTGAGCAATCATATTCCGGAGTAAATTTCATGGGTGGTCATTTAAATTTGTGTTCATTATTCAAAAGTTATTTTTCTTGCTACGTAAAAGGCATTCAACTTTGTATTCATTACCTAAAAGTCACTTTTTTTCTTTTTTTTACACAAAAATCATTTTACTATGATCTAGCTATCACAATAGTCACTTTGACCAGATTTTATTAAACTTTCACCTGAAAAGTCTATTTTGCCCTTGACATTTTAAATCCTCACTTTTATGTAATACCTTCTATATTGTATACTATATAATATACTTTACCTAAGATTTTTATTTATTATTAAATAATTTAATATTATTTTATTTATTATTCTTATAGTATATTCGTACATTTAATTTTCCCTTAACGTTAATTTTCAAGATATATAGGTAGCCTTATTAAATTTGTCAGTAACATTACTGTGAACAAATCTCAAGTCAACATTCTTAGCCATACCTAATGAAATATTTTTAATGATAATTATAAAATCAAAGTTCACAGATTTATCAGTCAAGCCATATTCGTGAATCTAATAAATAAAATACCCACATTTAGCACATGACACATCAGATTAATACTTTTAAATAAATAATATTAACAGATAAAGCTTTAAAATAATTAATATTAAACACAAATAACGTTGAATTTCTGTTTTAAAAATTTCACTGACAATAAAAAATTATCCTTTGTAAACAAATCTATTTTATTATTTCAAGTAAATATTTTTTGTCATTTTTATATTTTAAAACATCTTAATATTTGAATATGATTAAACAAATTGAGTGGCATGAGAAAATTAAATGTACGGATATATTATAAAAATAAAAATAAAATATAAAGTTATTTTAATTATAAGTAAAGTACCTAGATAAAAATATATTATATAGTATATAACATAGAAGCTATTACATAAATGGGAGAATTTTTAATGTCAAGGACATAATAGACTTTTCAAGTAAAAGTATTGTAAAATCTGGCCAATGTGATTTTTGCGATAACTAGAGCAAAGTAAAATAATTTTTGTGTAATTAAAGAAAGAAAAATGACTTTTGAGTAATGAACACAAAGTTGAATGATTTTTATGTTACAACTAAAGAAAAGAAAAGTGACTTTTGCATAAAACACAAAATTGAATGACTAGCCATGAAATTTACTCCCTATTCTGCACTTGGACTTGAATTCGCGCAAAAGTAACTTATTTTTGTCTCGTTTGATTCATTACTTCTCTCCCCACTTAATTAAAGAATAAGAATAAGTTTTCCCTATGTTTTAGGTTTTTCATCTCGCATATTAGTAGAGGATATGGGCTATAGTTTCAAGATATATTTTCTTAACATGGAATTAATATCAAAGCCATCCCTAATCTTAACATGGTTTATTCAATATTGAATCCTCATATTGTCCACACTTCAATCTCCAAATGTCAAGATTTGGACGTGTGAGGTGGGCGGTAGAGTCTTATATTTATTGAGCATATGAGATATGATTTCGTTATATGATCATGGATAATTTTACTGACTTCATAATTGCTTTTGAGGTGGAGTTAGACGCAAGAAATTATCTGAATAGCAATTTTTTCCTTTTCATGAAAAACTAAAGAACAAATTAAAGAGAAGGAAATTTTCGATTTTCAAAGACAGGATGGAGAACATTTTCACTAGCTTATACCTCAGTATTGAAACGCTGCAAAGCTGCCTTGTTATCTTTAGCTCTTAAAAGCAGATAGAGCTTCTTCACATTTGGTTGTACTCTGAGTATCTTCTCCACAAAAACTACAACCAAAATAAAAAGAAAAATTTAAATACACCATATTAAGAGAATCACAAGAGAGAGACACAGAGGAGATGTAGCTTAATAAAAGTACTTTTTGCAAGAAAGCCAGTGGCACCAGTAACAAGAATGTTTCTGTTCTCAAGAAACTTGAGAACACTTGTTAACTCCATTGTAGTAACTCAAGAAAGATATAATACAAGAGAAAGGCAAGAAAACACTTAATATTGTGTAGTAAGGAGAGTAGAATTAGCCACGAGAAAACCACAATAGAGTAAAGAATTAGGGTGGCATTTATTTTATATACTGTAAATGGGATTGAGTACACGCAAGATGTTGATATTTTCTACGGTAGATTGAAAAAGTAATGCTATTAGAATTATTTTATTGTTTTTTTCTTGTGACACTGAAGTTTCATATCAGGACATGAATGGTCAGGGGAAACTTAACTTTTTATAAATGCTCTTTGATTTGGTTTGACTTTTCTTATCCTCTCTTCTTTCCCTTGGCTCCTTCTATTTTTGTTGCATGCGAAAGGTCATCTACATATACATACAATTCTAAAGAAAAGAAACGACCTATGTGGTAAAACTCTATAAACATTTGGTAAGGGAAGGGTTTACCTATATAATATATATTATTGGTTTATACTTGGTCTAACCTACCATATTTTACTGAAATAGAACACTCCAGTACTTTTTAAAATAAAAAATATATTCTAAAGAAAATAAAAAAAGAGAGAAACATTTTACTAGTATTCTTATGTGTTGGAATTAGCTTATATCACATGCGAATTCAGAATTAAAATTCTTACATTAATTCGCCCTTTAAAATTATGAGTTTGACTTTCATATTTTTAATATTTTAGTAATTTGTTATATACTTTTTAATGTTCTGTGTAAAAATACCAAGTTAATCCATCGTGCAATTAGTCTGGCTGTCTTATGTTTTCAAAATGTGGCTTGTGTACTCTGAAAATATATCTGTTATTGGCTATAAGAATAATAAATAAGTCATCATTTAGAAAAAAAAAATTACATTAATCCAATACAATTCATTTCATATATGCCTAATTGAAGGCATTGGTGATTATCAATAGGGGTGTACATGAGTAGGGTTAGTTCGATTTTTATTAATATCAAATCAAATCAATTATATCGGCTTAGTTGATTCGATTTTATCAGTTTTTCCAAATTTTTTTGTCACATACGTATTATTTCAATCTTACTTTGTTAGTGTTATGAATAAACTTTGATAAGTTAGAGTATATGTTTATTAAGAACTGAACAAATTGACAAACATATATTCTATTAAAATGTTCTTATGAGAGAATTCTTTTGGTAACACATGATAGTTATTTTCTTAATCTAATAATAATTTTTTGTTGATGTACACTTTCAAGCTTAACAGAATTTTAATAAGTAAACATAGATTCAATATGAAACCTAAATAATGATATATTTTATTATATTTTAAAAATCACCGATAAAATACAATTTCAAATTCGAAAAAGATATAGGAGTTTAATAGATCTTAACCTATGAATATAGAAGAACAAAGAGATTGACACATTCAATAACACTTAATAAGAAAGTGATTATACACGTTACGATCAAGCATTATTTAAAGTAAATAAAGACGAATGTAATTCTATTAAATAACATCCTATGAGAAGATCACTAATATTTCTAGATATTTGTAAAGAAATACTATACATAATTTTAAAAATATATATAAATATTAGATATATATTTTATATTGGGTTTGTTAGGAAATTTTTACTCAATACCAAACTAAAACAAACCAAACTTAGTCGAATTTTTTTATCGATTTGGTTTGACTTTTTGATCTGATGCGACTTTTCGATTCGATTTGAACACCCCTAATTATCAATATATGGTCAATTTGACTAGCTTCGCTTACAAAAGATTGTAAGATATTTAATTTATTACCAATAAGTTTTATATAACTCCTACGATAGGAAAGATATATTTAATTCAAAAGACATGCATGTAAGATGTTATATGAAATTAGATGGTGCTTATAGCTAGCAATGTTAGCCCCCCCCCCCCCCCCCTCCAAAAAAAAAGAAGAGAAACTACCATCTTTGTCGGTTCATACGTAAATTAGTACAAAAACTAGCTAATTCGTAAACTATTACCAATATTAGCTAAATGCTATCAATATTAGCTAATTAATTATTTATAGAAAAAAAAATATTCAAAATTTTGCTCTTTTTTTTTTGAGTGGGTATTGTTGGAATAGATTGGGTACATTAAGGTGTTTCAATCTCAGTTTTAGAATGATTTGGTGAAGTTTTGAGGTGGTTTGACTTGAAATTTCAAAGTAGAAGATGAACATGAAAAAAGATGATATGTGTATCACACTGTGTATCATTTATTTATCGCATATGTATCATATGTGTATCAAATGTGTATCACATTGATATCCATGTATACCTGTGTGTGTAGGGCTGGGCATAATTTGGTAAATACCGAATTACCGTACCGAAACCGAAAATTTTGGTATTTGGTATACGGTATTTTGGTATTTGGTTAAAGTTTTTTTAAAAATTGGTATTAGGTATGGTATTTGGTATTTTAAAATAAAATACCGAAATACCGATACTGTACCGAAATATATATTATATTGCGCAAAGCACATATGATCAATTATAACATAAATATAAAAAATCTAAAATTTAACTTTACTTTATTCTCAAAGTTCATCAATTAACTCAAAACAAGTAACAAGACATTTCTAATGATCAAATATTCTTTTATGTACAATTTTCTCTATTTGGATCGATATTTGCTAGTTTTGGACAAAATATTTGTCAACAAACATTTTTAGTTTTGTATTTTTCAGTACTTTAATTAAGAATATTAGAGTGTATGACTCTATGCACTAGTTAGTATTCAAACCGAATAAACCGAAGTTACCGAACTGAATAAACCGAAACCGAAAGGAGAAAAAACCAAACCATACCGAATTTAATTGGGTACGGTATTGGTATAGGATTTTAAGAAACCGAATACCGAAAATACCGAACCGAAATATTTATATACCGTACCGTACCGACCGACAAACATCCCTATGTGTGTGAGATACATGCGTGATACATGTGTTCCAGAAGAATTATTTCAACTTGATTTTAACTACGAATTTTGATACCAAATCAGTCCAACTGATATCCAATCTTCCTCAAATTTTATATATTGACTCATTATATATTTTTTTATGAATTTCAACCATACCCATCGAAAAAGGTTCCTTTTTGCTTAGGTTTTTGGAATCTTGTATTTTTTTCTTTGTGTTTCATCACCTTGTTTGCTACCTCATCCAAAAAGTTTCTTTTCCTTCTTGCATATATTGTTGTTGATCACGCTTAAAAATATGGAAGGAGATTGATTCTTGGAGAGAAAGAATCCTTATTTGTCTAAGTTTTTAATTTTTATATGCATTTGACTAGTTTTGGTAAGTCAGTAATTAATGACTAAAGGCTAGTAAGTCTGGACTTATTTTGGACATTTCCATAAGATTCAAAAAAATATAGGGGATTATCACTTTTAGCCCGCGCGCCAGAAATTATTTACATTTGGTAGTTAAAAAAAATAAATTTGTATATANTATATATATATATATATATATATATATTAAAGTGACTATACAATATCATTTTCTCAAAACGTATCAACATCTTGAAGAGGAAAGTAAAAATTAAAAGAAACTATAATTTTTTAATTAACTAGTTACTACATAACATTTGTAAGAAATTCTTACATTTTCTTTCACGTTTAATTTGCTCGACCGACAATAGTACATTGTGAGTTTCTCTCTCTATGTATATACCGATAATGTTTTTATGGTTTTTCTTTCCTTTTAATTGTATAATAATACTCACATAGTTCATCAATGATAAGCATGGTTAGAAGTGGATTCAGAATTTAAACTTTGTGCAACATTCTTAAGTTAATATACAGTAATAACGGGATAAATCAAAAAATATTTATATAAATATTTAATAAATTTCTTAATACATATAAATAAAAGCTAGTAGATTCACGTAAACTCATAAATTACATTATAGATCCGCCCGTGCAGAGACTACAGTAGTACTTTTGGTGAATGAATCTTTTTTTTTTTTGTGGTCTTTCATTTGATTTACATAAGCGAAGTTTCCGTGTACGGAAGTAATTAAAGCAAATGAAGACTTGACTTTGAGAGTTTCTTATGGTAGTTGCTCCAATTTAATTACAAGTGTTGTCAGTACGGTTAGCTCATAACTCCCAACTCCCAAGTAGTATTATTTTTGTCGTCCTATATCTTTGTCTTATTTTGTCCATGTATAGGGGTGGCAAAATGGTTAAAAGAAAACAGTTAACCACCCATATTATCCACTAAAAATAGGTTAGATAATGAACTTTTTTAAAAACGGGTCAAATATGAATAAGAACTATATTATCCATTTAGAAAATGGATAACCAATGGATAACTAATTGATAACCAATGGGTCTAACTTTTACATTTGTAAAGCCTCAAATTGGGGGTTCCTCAAGTTAGGGAGACTAAGAATTCTCCCAAAAGTGATCATATGCAAGAAGTCATGAATAATATGATTATCCATATTATTCGCCGGTCAATCCGGTTTTTATCCGTATTAAATATAAGTCGGGTCGGATAGTTGATCTGTTTCTTCATTACCTGTTTTCGATCTGAACCATATCCGACCCAGTCCGCCCCGCCCGTTTGCGACTCCTATCCGTGTACATCCTATATATTATATATCCACTTTTATGGGAAGAACTTGCCGACCAAAAAGGAAAGAAATAAAGAGTTTCAGCTGTTTAAAACTTATGTTATCCGCGGATCACAACTCACAAGTTTGGACATACAAAGGATGAGAGTTGTGGTAGGCTAGCAGGCACAAAACTAACCAATTTCATTATGAATCCTCAGTTACATTAGAAATAGTATTTGCATAATAATGACATGCTACTATCCTAGGGGAAGATCTATTATCTCTATGCCCAACTCCTCGTATAGTAGCCACGAAAAGAGAACTATAACACTTAGGTTGTTGAATGCTTTAGGATTAGATGAAAAAACTAACCCTAAGAGAGAGGCTATATACCCTACAAAATTTATTTTGTACCTAATACTTTGAAGTTTTCTATTACAATCAATAATGAGGAAGGTCGGATCCTTTTTTCTATTTGTTTTCTCTATTGAAATAGTTGCTGACTCAGCTGAATTAATTGTGGTTAGAGTCTA